AAGCAAAAAAATTAAGAAACCACAAGGGTGCTCTGCAGATGTGGCCAAAATAGTAAAAAACAAAAAGTTAGCATTTAGTAATTATAAAAAACCCAGAGTGAGGAAGATAGACAGATCTATAAGATTAGGCAGAAAGAGTCTCAGCAAGTTATAAGAGCTTCCAAATCACACACAGAAAAGAAAATAGCACAGTCAGTAAAAAAAGGGGACAAAACATTTTTTAGATACATAAATGAGAAAAAGAAAGTAAAACAAGGATTAGATTAAAAATAAAAGAAGGAAGGTGTGTAGAAGCTAGTCTAGCTGACTGCCTCAATGAATATTTTTGTTCAGTATTTACAGATGAAAATGAAGGAAAGGGGCCTAAGATAGGAAAAAGGACAATTGAGTCATTTGTTACATGTGAGTTTACAGAGGAAGAGGTTCTATTTCAACTGTCAAAAATAAAGACAAATAAGGCAATAGGACCTGATGGAATACACCCAAAGTTATTAAAAGAGCTTAGTGGTGTACTAGCAAAACCATTAACCGATTTATTTAACCAATCATTGTTAACAGGAGTAGTCCCAGAAGATTGGAAGTTAGCAAATGTTGTGCCCATTTACAAGAAAGGTAGTAGGGAGGAGTCGGGCAACTATAGGCCAGTAAGCCTTATTTCAGTAGTGGGGAAAGTGATGGAAACCATGTTAAAAGATAGGATTGTTGAACATCTAAAAACACATGGATTTCAAGATCAGAGACAACATGGGTTTACTTCAGGGAGATCATGCCAAACTAATCTCTGACCATTTTTCTAGTTTACCTAAATCATTTGCCATTTGGCTTATCCCTCCTGGAACATCAACCCTGTTACATATCTTAGTATCATCAGCAAAAAGGCTTATCTTACCATCAAGACCTTCTGCAATATCACTAATAAAATTATTACAGAGAATGGGTCCAAGTACAGATCCCTGAGGTACCCCACTTGTCACCAGTGGGGTACCTCAGAGATCTGTACTTGTCACCAGTGGGGTACCTCAGGGATCTGTACTTGGACCCATTCTCTTTAATAATTTTATTAGTGAAATTGCAGAAGGTCTTGATGGTAAGGTAAGCCTTTTTGCTGATGATACTAAGATATGTGACAGGGTTGCAAGACCTTCTGCAATATCACTAATAAAATTATTAAAGAGAATGGGTCCAAGTACAGATCCCTGAGTTACCCCACTTGTCACCAGTGGGGCACCTCAGGGATCTGTACTTGTCACCAGTGGGGTACCTCAGGGATATGTACTTGGACCCATTCTCTTTAAAAAAATAATAAATCTTTATTTTACAGTCCAGTAAAAAGCAGTAATGCAATACTGATCCTAGCAGTTAGCAAACTCAATTTAAGAAGAATATCCATTTGTCTATTTTCTTTTTCTGAAGAGGCTCTGGTCACTACTTATACTACAGCCTTCAGAGAACCAGAATATCTTTGTCTGAACTAAGCCTGGCTGTGCAGGACTTAACTTATTGCTTGAGAGTGACTAGCTGATGCCCTAAGTCAATGAGCTGGACCTGCATGGTAGGTCTTAGCCCAGGAGAACCAAAAGAGGCTGCTAAGCAGAATGCTCTCTAAAGACTGTGGTGTAGGTGGGGAGCAGCACCCAGCAGACACCAGGTAAGACGTTAAGCAATTCTAAAAGTGGTATGACTACTTACAATAGGGGTGCCCTTTCCTCCTAGCACCATAACCACTATGGCACACTGTAGTGGTTTTGGTGCATGTGGTGCTACTTTAAAAGGTTACATTATGAACAGACCTGCATAGCAAGCCATAACGAGGTTTAGTTTTAAAGAGCATTCTAGACATCTCCAGATATCAATCTAACTAGTATCCCAGCATCCAGGACGTCCTTGTTATTATTAATATATTTTTCCAGTAATATGATACAATATTCTGTGCGTTAGTATTGTACGCTGTACGCTGATGACACCCAGATATATCTCTCCTCCCCAGACCTCTTTCCTGCCTCCCTGTAACGTGTCACTGCTTGCCTTTCTTCCATTTCTGACTGTATGTTCTCCATTTCTGAAACTCAATCTCTCTAAAACTGAGCTCCTTGTTTTTCCTCCTCCTAATGCTGATCCTCCTCTTTTGCTCTACCTTCAAGTTAGTGGTATCCAAATAAGTCCATCCTTGCAAGCGCGCTATCTTGGCGTCATACTTGATTCTGGCCTCACCTTTGAGCCTCACATCCAGTATGTTGCCAAATCCTGTAGATTCCATCTTAAAAACATAGCCCGCATCCGCCCCTTTCTTACGCAAGATGCTACAGAGGAGCTTGTCCATGCTCTAGTAATTTCCAGCATGGATTATTGTAACTCTCTTCTAATTGGTCTTCCCAAAAGCCATATTACCCCGCTACAGTCTGTAATGAATGCTGCTGCCAGACTAATTTTCCTCTCTAGTCGGTCCTCTCACACATCACCCCTCTGTCAGTCCTTACATTGGCTTCCTGTATCCTATAGGAGTCAATTCAAAGTGCTAACCCATACCTCTAAAGCACTGAACAATTCTAGCCCCTCTTATATCTCTTTATTGCTTCACAGGTATGTCCCATTCTCGGTCTCTCCGCTCTGCCCGTGACCACCTCCTGTCCGCTGCTCGCACCCGTACACCCGTACAGGACTTCTCGAGGGCAACTCCCTTCCTATGTAATAGTCTGCCTACCGCCATCAGATTCTCCCCAAGTCTTCAATCATTTAAGAAGTGCCTTGAAACCCATCTATTTAGGAAAGTATATTGCCTCCCAGAGTAACCTCTACCTTATACACTTGTCTCTTACTCTCTCCTAAAGGGCAGCACTTCACTCTCTCCTCCAGCTCTGCTTCCCACCCTATTTGATTGATATTTTCTGTCCTAATTGGTTTTACACCTTGCCTCCTATAGACTGTAAGCTCGTTTGAGCAAGGTCCTCTTCAACCTATCGTTCCTGTACATTTTCTTGTAATTGTCCTATTTATAGTTATATCCCCCTCTCATAATATTGTAAGGCGCTATGGAATCTGTTGGTGCTATATAAATGGCAATAATAATAATAATAAAATAATAATAATCTTGTTGTCCACGCTCCTTATTGCTTTATAGATTAAAAGGGGAAAAAAAGCTAATGTTTATATGACGTTTGAATTCAAATATTAGGTTGTTTAACAGTTTCAATGTCATGTATTGCATATTTGTACCATACAAACTTTACTATAGAAAACTGGTTTCCAACTCAGTTCTCAAGGTACACTAGAGTTCCAACATTTGTCAGTTTCCACAATGGAACAGAATTGGGAAATGCCCAGATGTCCAGGAATTATTGTAGTGCTGTGAGGTTGGGAACCACTGCTTAGGAAAACAGCCCAAAAAATTATCCGATTTTATTTTTATACCTTAACATCTTTTTTATTTATGCACTTTGTATAACATATTATTATAAAATATATTAGAAGTTTGTTTTTTCGCAATATAAAAAAATATGTTTAGAACCAGTATTACCAAGCTCCTGGGAATATATTTTAATCATTAGAAAAAGGAGGAGGCAGAAAGGCTTGAGGAGTGGCAGACCATTTCTTTCTGATTTTGTTTTGTTTTTTACATTATTTGTATGTAAGACTGGAAAACCAAATAATAGTACAACTACTTATCTTGTTTCATTATTGCATTGTGATCTCCACAGGAAATGAAATTGTGCTTTCAATGCCTCGATAGATAGTCTTCTCAATATCACACAACATTCCAACAGAAATAAAAACATGGTCATGTTCAGTAGACCATATATACTGAAACCATCACAAGCATACCTGGACCTTTCACAGAAAGACTCACCTCTTTCATGAATATGATCTGCCCCTTTGTACAGTTTAATCTCTTTTCTGCCCTCCTCTGTCAGGGTAAGGAAGACTTGGAAAAGATTTCAGTAGAGATTGAAATGTTTTGTGTGTTTCCTGTTGTTCCAATAAAACTGCTGTGCAAGTGATCCTGAGTGCATGGACTTTATTGTTCTTCTTACCAATGTAGTGGGGTTAGCCAGTAGAAATAAGAGTGCGGATTCCTCTTGTGCTATTATGGACTGAAATTTGGAATTTACTTTTTATTTACTTGGAATACCTGACAGCCCGCACTTTAGTGGTTAACCATATGTGCTTGATGGCCAGTGCTTGGCCACAGAGTCTTGCTGTATTTCCAGCAGATCATGGTGTTCTATAGTGCATTCCATTCAGAACACAGCTGAAACATATCTAAACCCTTTACCAGTAGGACATTTTGAGAACTGACCTGCCATAGTACAGTGATTAGGCTGTGACCTTTTTCTACATCGTACATAGTTTAACCTGGAACCAAAAATTCGAAGTGATAAGCTGTGCTTAAAGATCTACTAACATTCTGTTTCTTGCTAGTAAACAGTGTCAAATACGTGGCTAAATGCACTTAACATACATTGTTCTGTACATTGTATCGCTTTACTTTTATTTTGAAACCATTATTTACAGCACATTCTCCTACCTTGGCTGTGTTGATCACATTGCATGTCCCCTGCTGTTTTATTTTGGTCCAGCCAAATGTAATCATTCTGTCTGAATACCCTACCCACTAGGGTTCTGCTTAGGATGCCTCTCTTACTGTCTCTGCTGCTGTGTGAATGTTTTAATTTAAAGCTTAGTCATTTTGGATCTCGCTGTTATGTTACTGGCTGGTCTTTTGTTCGGGAATTCCAACTGACTTTAAAATGAGCGTTTTGTAATTCAGTCAGCTTTGTACCATCTAGAACAGTGATGGCTACCCTTTGGCACTCCAGCTGTTGAGAACTACCTTTCCTAGTCCGCAACAGCTGGGGTGCCAAAGGGTAGCCATTATTGATAAAGAAAAAAACTGCACACGTTGCATGCTGAGTGTTTTAAATAAAGTGTTGATCTTCTGAGCAAATTAAAAAATTGTCTTTGTTTTCATACACATTTTTATGTAATAATAGAAAATAATATATATATATATATAAACAAAAATAAAAATCAAAATGCACTCACAGGTCTTCTGGTTAATAGGAAACCAGAAGACCTGTGAGTGCATTTTGATTTTTATTTTTGTTTATATATTTGACGCCAACAATTTGCACCCAGGCATGTGAGTTAAAAATTTATATTTTTTTGGAGGTGAGTGCCAAGCGTTCACCTATATATATATATATAAATATATATATATATTATATGAGCAGCTTAAGCAGTAAATCTAATTATTTTCATGTTCAAAATTAATCTCAATGGTTCCAGCATTTGATAATATATACTGAATGTATTTCTTTATACCATTATATAACATTGTGCCATTTACCATTTCTTGTTTAATCATAGTACCTAAGTGAATGTGGGGTGCATGTGTGGACTCGTGTCTATTTGCTACTAACTCATACAACATGTTCTGCACATTTTGCAGATATGAGCCATTCATAGCATGCAGGTAAACTGATTGTGGTAATAGACTGCAGAGAATGTTGATGCTATATAAATGTCAATAATAATAATAATAATAAATTCTAGGTGAAAAATGAAGGGGGTGATTTTATAGGACCATACACACACAAAACCACCATATGACTCTATACATTTTTGTTTTAGTTTAGGTTTTGGGATGCTTTACCACTGCAAATGCAAGTGTTTGAAAGACAGCAGTTTATTTTATTCTCTTTATTATCTTATTCCTACTGAGAAAAAGAATTCATACATTATTTAGTTAATAACCAAGTTAAAGTGTCATTTAAAGCTTAATCTTCCACTATGATCATGTGATCTGTACCCAAATAAATGTGAAAAGTCCCAGGAGATCATCTGTGCATTTCTCTGCCAACCTTTCTGCTTGTAACTTACTTAAAGTGACAACTTACAGAGACTAGTATAGCACAATCCAGCTCCTTCCTAAATTTATTTTAGAGGTAGGGCTGGTAGGTAGACTAATTTATTCCTGTCATGATTTATATGTTTAAAACTACAGAAATGATAAATATGTGTACTTTTTTTTTTTTTTTTTAATGGTTCCTGCCTATATGCAGCTTATATTTTGCCTACATAGAATGGCATCTTTAATGTTACCTTTTCTCATTGCATATTCTCTTTGTCTCATAGGATGACGATGTTTCCCGCGAGAGTCGGTTTAACTTTAGCGGATATGGGATGGGTCATTGTTTACAAGTTAAGGATGGCACTGCCGTGAAACCACCCCCACCTTTACCACCTCCTGTTCAACCAAAAGATGCAGAGTCAATCAAAAAGAAATTTGTGGATCGTGCAAAAAGGATTGATACAATATCTCGGGCTGCCTTTCCACTGGCGTTCCTCATTTTTAACATATTTTACTGGATTACGTACAAAATCATACGGCACGAGGATGTACACAAGAAATAAGCCACCGCTTTCTTATTTGGGATTCGAAAGCCAATGTGTGCTTGTAAATGAACAGTGAACTGTCCGTATGCTACTTGACTGGTTTTCTGCCCATCTTCTCCTCCCGCAGACAAGAAAACTGGAGAAAAAATAAATAAATAAAGACATTTGAAGATGAAGCAGAAAATAAAACATCAACCCTGAAACAGTGATGAAAAAAAAAAGCCTCCTAATTATGAACTTTGTCTACTTATCTTTGGATATTTTGTTTTACAGAACCTGTATTAAACTATTGTGTTTTAAAGGGGCCAATTTAACCAACACTGCCGCTAAGATGTCACCTTGCTCACAAAAAAATTATAGAAAAACAAAATCATAACTAAATACAAAATCAATCGAAATCTCCCATTGAATCATACCACATAGTATAAATTTGACAGCTTTCCATTCTAATATTTACGGTAGCTGAAAAGTTTAGGATGTGGACCAAATTTTTTAAGGAAACACTGCCTTTTTACTGGAAAGATATATTTACTGAGCTACCGTTCATTCCATCACAATGTTAGTATTTAGTGTTGCACCAAACAATTATTTTATGTGTTGTAAAATATTATATATATATATAAATATATTTATATATATATATATTGTATGTATGCGCATATATAGTATGTATGTATAGTTTTATATATACTTTATATGCACCCGTATCTGTATAGGTACATGCATACATATTTATCTTAAAAAAAAAAAGATTTATACTTTAATATCTGTGAGCGTGAATTAAAAACAAATCTTGCTTTATTATGCTATTGTACTATTTGAATTTTACATGTGAAATGTGTGTTCTTTTTGGCAAGTCAGTGCTTTTAAAATACAATGACAATGCCCAAATTGTTTCTATAATTTTTTAATTTTTTTTTAAAATTAATTTATTTTTAAGTTTTCGTTTTCTGACAGTGCACTGGATTTATCTAAAGTATTTTATGCTGTTTTTACATGAAACTTGAGGTGCCAAACTGTAATCCACTCAATGTACTAACCTTCTTTTGCACCGTGATCTTTCTATACCGTGATCTTTTTTGGAATGATGTAGCTCAGTCTAGCTTTATCACTGCCATCAGTGTAGTCGCAGATGATAGCTCCTTAGGTAGAGTGTCAAAACTTGTTTACAAATCTTCTATTTATATCTTTCTCAAAAACGACTGCCATTTAAGATACCACTAAACAACCTAAGAATTTTAAAATTGTACTGTGGTTTTCATATCCTCATATTAACCTTTCCTCGACTACCTATCTAATTCAGGTCCTTGATACACATTTTCAATAATAAAAGAAAAAAAGAAAAACGTATAACAAAATTTTTACTTATAAGGAAAAAATCCTGTATAACTTATCGTGAAAAAAAACAAATAAAATTTTACACTTGTTGTAAAAAATAAATAATATGAAAAAAGACATTTTATTTAAGGAAAAAGTAATATCTGTTCCATTTCAATAAAGCTACGTGTGGTAAAATGTTTCATCTGTTCAAGTATCTTATTTATACCTTTAAAAAAAGATATGCATCAATGTATAATCATGATTTCAAATAGGAGCTTTCATGTGTTTCACTTTGCAAAATACATCATTCTGAGCATTATATCGATTTTACTCTACTGATATAAATGTTCTGTCTTATAAACTGGGTAGTTGGCAATTATGAAATTCACTTCCTCTTTATGTAAATCAAATTATTTTATCAAAGATTACTCTTTTTTGAAAGTAGTGTCAACTTGGGGATATTAGACTTCTGTAAAAATCCCCTATGGAGTTTGTTTAGGAGTCAGTTTATTGAATTTAGCTGAAATGTATCACAGATGACTCTTTAACTACCATACCCTATACAACGAGCCTTCATTTTGTTTGGCATTGCATCACAGATCCATTGCCATCAGAAGTACCGTTTACCTTATCCTCTGCTCCAGTGTTTTATCTGAAACAGTACCGATACTAATTGTTCTATAAGAGATATGGATAGAACAGAGGAACTGTAAACGCCATCCTCACTCTCCAGGTACATGATCCTGCATGACACAATCAGGTTTATTCACTAAGTGGGAATAGATAATCGAAAAAAGCTAATTTAGGTTAAAATAGTTGAACAGAAAACAACCAGTCATATTTTTTCCAATCTGACTTTTTAGGTCTAGTAATTAAAATTTCTGGTCAGAACTCAAAAATTATTGTATACTTCTGAATATGAACAAGGAGGAAGGCGAGTTCAAATGTGATCTAGGTATCCATCAGGACATCTTTAAAGAGTTTCTCCAACCATTTTTCACTGACAATAGAATAAAGCCCTATTGGCATTAGTCTATCAGTCCCTCCTACAAAAATGACCAAAGGCCACAGCTTGGCGCATCCCTGTCTGATGTCATGGGAGTCGCGATGAGATCCAATCATATGTGCACTCTGAACTGGCGAAGGGAAGGTATGTAGGGAGGGGGAAAAGGAGGAAGGTAGGAAGGATGGGGATTTAAAAAAAAAAATGTGAATGGGATTGGTAGGAGGGAGGGAGAGGAGGCAAGAGCTTCTCCTGCAAGGGATAAGCAGTTACATCTGTCACTAGCATGCAGTGGACATGCAGATGGAATTTATGCACAGAATTGGCATTAGGCAGCCTGGAGCAAGTTCTGGGCAAAGTTCTGGGCTATCCAAGTCACATGTGCTGGGGGTGCAACATGCCCCAGCACACAATTAAAATATCTCTGAAACACTGCACATCCAGACTCCTACCACCATGACTATTTCAAAAAGCAGAAGTCATCCTGGTGATTGGAGTAACCCTTTAAATACCATAGCAGCTATTTCTGATATCAAATACTTACCAGGCAATGGTATTTACTGTACATGATTATTATGCACACATATACCTATAATTCCAAAATGCCAGCAGACTCCTTATAAATATCCAACAGCTAGGCATTTGACTATTATTTCTATTTTAGTTTTGCATAATAAAAGAACATTATAGTGTGAGGAATTCAAACATGTATTGCATAAAATAGGAACATTATAGTGTTGCTGTTTAGGTCCCATTCGCCCTGTCAGAGCAGTGAAAAGGCGTTTTTATTCACCTCTTTCCCACGCTGTGCCAGTCTCTCCGCAGTTGGCCCCACCTTCGTGGCTTAGATCATCAATTTTGCGCCAGTCAGCTCCTCCTCATAGAGATGTATTGAAACAATGCATCTCTATTTGGAACGTTCATCGCCTCCATGCAGAGCGTGGAGAAGCTGAACTCCAATGTTGCACAATGTGCAGCACTGACACAGGAAACACTTGTAGTGGCCATCTAAGTGATTGCCACTAGAGGTGTTCCTAGGCACCTATGTAAACACTACATTTTCTCTGAAAAGGCATCATTTACATTCAAAAGACTGCAGGGACAGACATAGACACCAGAACTACTATATTAAGTTTAGGGTTTCTGGTGATTATAGTGTCCTTTTAAAATAAAATATGCTTTATGCTTATTTTTCTAATCCACTTGAAAGAATTGCCAGCTAATACTTTAAAACATTGCACTACTTCTGTTAAGAGTACAAAAAATTAATTTTAAAAATATCTAAACGTTTATAAAAAACAAAACAAAAAAAAACCTGCAGTCTGTACAAGTAATTGTTTGTCCTAACTTGATATGTGAGCTTTGCATCCCACATTTTAAATAATGTTGTACTTATTTTTTCTTTACAAAAAACCTTGGGAAATTTTGTCCAAAATAAAATAGTTGTAAATGTGATAAATTATTATTAAATGCATTTATGTTTTTCTCAGAAGAAGTCTTAGCTTAATTAGTTCAATTACATGCCATTACGTTTGTATAGGTATCTATCTATCTATCTATCTAGATATCTATCTATCTGTCTGTCTGTCTGTCTGTCTGTTCGCCTCTCTATCTATATATAAAACAGCTCCAGGTTCATGCCTAGAGAATAGGCTCAATAACCCCCCCCGACCCCCCACAAAAAAATAAAATAAAATAAAGGATTTTAAAAATATACTACTATTCGCATGCTCTTGCTCTAAAATGTGCAGAGGGGATGCAGAATGGGAACTTAGGAGGGATGCAGGAAAATAATGATTGAGGACTAGCTTGCTACAAAATAACTTAAAGCTGACATCAGGCATTGTGCATTGTGCAATACTTTTGCTGCTTCTATCTCTCTAACGGTTCAACAGAGCAAGCTTCTGCCAACTAGTTAGAAGGGAAGGAGAGGAGTGGTCCAGCGAGTCTTGAACACAGAGGATTCCGAGTTTAGAATTAGTGAGAGAGACGAGATGGGAGCTGTTGAGGTGTAAGATGGACATAAAGATTGATAAAGGGTATGTGGAGGCTTAAAATGCATTCTTCAAGTGACCCTTCAGTATCACCTACACCAGATACAAGACACCTGGGAGGTATGACAATTTATTGATTACATGTTATAAGGTTTGTGAATAGACCCATCATAATAAGCAGCACCAGGCTTAATAGGCTCTAAATCCAGCCCGGAATCTTAAAAAGTCAGTTGTTCTCCTAGTTTGAATGGTCTTATTTAGAAACACATAATTATAATTATGTTTTATTATTATAGGGTTCTACGAAGTGTTGCTCAGCCAAATCCTGTATAATCCAATAATTACTGTTGAACTAACTTCCTTGCTATAGTCACACATAGCATTGTTATTAGGTTAAGAGCGTTTATTCAAAATGCATTTGGAGGACACTTAAGTACTTTCCCGGTGCAAGGTACTGTTTCTCATCACAATCAGGTAATCATACATTCATGAGGAAGTGACTGTGGGAGTCTACAACATTCGCAGAGATTAAACAGAGAAGCCAATCATTAAGGGCTTTGTTAAATTCCAGAAGAAAATATATTTTACTTCTTTTTTAATGGCCAATGGCATGACTGTTGCCTAGAGCAACATTTTAGCCCATTGAAAAACTTTGCCAGAATGTGACGTTGAAAGATCCACTTCAGTTTAGAATGTCCTATTTATTTTATGTTACCAAGGTTCTATCAAGCTTAAAATACTAAATTCGACATCCCCTTGGGACAGGCTCTTCAAGCAGCAAATATTAGACTGACAGTAAGTTCTAAAGGTGAGGAGATTCGTGATGCAAACCCTAATGCACAGTTCTCCCGTACTGCACTGGAAACTAAGTAAAAAAAACCTGCATAAAAATATGCATATCATTTACGTGCAAATTATGAACGCAGAAAAATGTTATGAAACATTAATTATTTAAACACATTTATAAACAGGCATGGAAAAAAAATGGTAAATTAAAAAAAAAAAAAAGGAAAAAACAAGTTTGTATATCGTGTATTCCGATTAGAGAAGTGAACTTATAGCAGGACCAAATGGAACAAAAGGACAAATGAATATGGTATATTTTATTTAACATTGAAGTGCAATTTAATAATTATAAACCATGTTACATAGAATAAGAAATTGATGTGTTTCAATAAAGAAGCAAGAATTGATAATATAGTCACATCTGGGTCTGTCACTGATATCTATGAAGTCCACACTAGACTGTTTTTTCATCAAACAGGTAACATTACTGTTGTACCACATCTTTGAGCAAGCAGCCTCCATCAAACATATTTGATAATGCTGGGATGGGAGCCCTGAATTAGCCACTTGCAGAATGACCAAAGTGACACATATCATGACAGTTATCTCTGCAGGGTCTTACCAGGTCTGAAATGATATTCATTTTTAATGATAAAACTCTCTGCTGCAGATTGTGAAGCTAATGCCAATTAATTTGTAAAATGTCACCATTAGCCTCAGGAAAGAAGATAAAAATAGAGAGTTCGATCTACAAATTATAAAAGGTGCAATAAACCCCGTCATTTATCTCTAGATGAACCTGGAGACTCATGCTTGCATATTGAATAGGTACCAAAAAATAGAGGATAAATCCAGGCACGCCAACTGCTCTAGGCAAATCTATTAGGACAGAAGGCACACATAGCTACAATTGATGGGATTGTGTTGGCCAATGATCCAGTTTAGAACCCTCAGTTTTCTGTGGATTGAGTGTGATTGCTTTGAATATATTGCATATTGCAAAGGAGCATTATTGAATGTATTCGTAAAGTTTCCTCTATGATGACTGAGTTTAACTAAAACCCAGGCAGAAACACTCAAATAGCTACAATTTAAGTAGTGGATCAAGCAGTGGGTCGAGTATTGGATTGAGTAGTGAATAGAGCAGTGGATCAGAAACCAGTCACTAATGCACACAAATGGCCCAGGTTTTGATCACAGTGCACCTTATGGTAAACATAATGATGTCATTAAATATGTAAGCAGCAGTGTCAGAAGTGCAGAGAATATACACAATAGACAGGGGAACTCCATTGTTGGTCATTGGGCTAGATGCTCAGAAATTACTTTTAAGCTGTGTCCAGGTGTTTTGGTACACTCATTCAGAGTTCGGAATATTTCAGT